ACTAAAAGGCTGTTGTCCAAATAGAATAAGGGAACACTGCATGGTTTAAAATCAGGAGAGGTGTGTTTCAACACTGTATCCTTCCTCTATACCTACTTAATGCTGAGCAAATCACTCAAGAAGCTGAACTGTATAAAGAGGAATATGGCAACAGGTTTGGAGGAAGTCTCCCTAACAACCTGCATTCTGCAGGTGACACACCTTTCCTTGCAAAAGTGAAGAAGACTTGAATCATTTGCTGCAGAAAAGAAGATATGATAGTTTTCAATATGAGTTACATCTCAACAGCAAGAAAACAAAAATCCTACTCAGTGGACCAAGAGGTAACATCATGATAGATGGAGAAAAGATTGAAGTTGTCAACAACTTTTACTTGGTTCCACAATCAACACCTAGGGTAACAGTATTAGGAAAATCAAAAGATGTGTTGCCTTGTGAAAATCTGAAATATTGGCAACTTATCCCTGTTCAATTTACAGCCTCTCAAACCCAATGGAATATCAGCTTTGATTTTTTTCCAACTCAAAGGCTATGCATTTTGCAAAGTCTTGATCATAATTCTTATTTTATCCTCACAATAATGTACAAGATAGCAATTCCTTTCCACAGAATTGCAAAGAGAGGAAAATGTCTTAGAATATCTATCTAACATGCTCCTTTTCACATAGCTTGTAAGCTGCAGAGCTGAGATTTGATCTATCTGAAAATAAAGGTTATGCTTCATTTGAATGAGTTCCCTTTTTTGATCAGAAAAGATACATGCATTCAAAGATAAATAGATGCCTGCCTTGACTTAAGGATGTGTAGGTTTCACAGATTATAGTCGGCCCTACATGCCCTTGTAAGGGCACATTCTCTAAAAAAAAAAAAAAAATTAAAAAATTGTGTTTGTAAACTCAAATTTATGGACTTAATGGCCACGAACACCTATAGACTTTTACAAAACTGCAAGTAAATACTTTCATTAGAAGCTGCATTCTTGAGTGGACTTGGGGGGAGGGATTGTATAACAATGAAAGAATTTTTCTTTTACTTTTCAAAGAGAAGAACGAACTGGTGGGGAGGGGAGGTTGGGCAGGGAGAAAAGTGCAACAATGAATGAATAGAAATTCAAAGTCTCTGTAAACTTTCATTAAAATTAATAAAAATTGACAAAGGTAAGAAAATGTAAGTTGAGAATGACTCAAGCAATAAAAAGAAAACAAATATGTTATTTCCCAGAAAATTTCTTTGGAAAGCAAAGTTTTGAGAGAAATGTTGAACTCTTTTTAAAATTTTGAAGTTGAAGTCATTAATCTTGTAGCTGTTTTGCAAGGAGGATGATGCTTCTTTTGAGAGCTAGAAGTCTCAGTTTTAGATTACCACAGGCCAATTGATAAATGTTCATCACATTTTTCACACTCATTTCTTGCACGAAAGAGGACACGCATCCCTCTTCCATCTCTAGGGCCCTAATCCAGTGTTTTAGGACAAGTCTCTGGGCGTGTCAGAATTTCATTTCTCAATGAAAGATAATGACAATCTCTACTTTTTTTCCCCTTCAGAGATGGGAAGACGTGTATGAAACATTTTTATTTTGTTTTCTTTTGCTTAATGCTATTTACTCTATAAATGACCTACGTAATGATCTATTTACTACGTGAAATACTTTGGTCCAAGTTGAAATAATTTCTAAGTGCTTAAAGTAAGCTTTAGAAACACTGGAAGCCAGCACCTTTGTAAGCTTCTTAATCATACCAGAGAGAATGAGTGACTGGTTCTGGAGCCTTTCGACCATCGTCTTAGATGACATCAAGGTCACTAAATCAAGGATTAGCATAGTCCACAAACACAGTGTTCTGCATCTTACTTGGGTGAGCCGCAATTAGGGGTATTGAAAATTTGAGAGCAACTACATAAAATACAACTATTGGTCTCTACCTGCACAGAGCAAATAAGAGGGAAGAAAAACAAAGTTCTGCTGAAACAATTAGTCCAAATGGCTAAGCAAAACATGAACTTCACCTTCCATGTCCGTGAATCTAGAAGAACTAGATAGCACGTAGCTACCACAGCTGGCCCCTCAGAAAGGGATCACAATTGAAGACCCTGGATAGACTAGGGGGAAATGTGGAACAAAACTAAAACATATTAGAAAGCTTAGGCTTGCTGGTCTTATAGAAACTGGTGGAACCCCTTAGATTATGGTCCTTAGCCACCCTATGAGTCTGGAATAAAACTTACCCTGCTTGCTGAAACTGAGGAGGACCTGAAGCACTTGCTGCAGAGGGTCAAGGACTGTGGCCTTCAATATGGATTAAAGCTCAACATCAAGGAAACAAAGATTCTCATCACAGGGCCGATTGGCAGCGTCATGATGGATGATGAAGAGATTGAGACTGTCGACAGCTTCAGTTTGCTTGGCTCTACAGCCAACACTTTTGATATCAGCAGCCAGGAAATTAAAAGATTAATTGCACTGGCAAAGTCGGCTGTCAGAGACCTGAAGAACAACGATGTCAGTCTGGAGAATAAGGTGCACCTGATCCAGGCTATGGTCTTTGCAATTACTTGCTATGCATCAGAGAGCTGGACAATGACTAGGGATGATAGAAGAAGAGTTGATGCCTTTGAGGAGTGGTGCTGGAGAAGAGTATTGAATATACCGAGGACTGCTAGGAGAACAAACAAGTTCGTACCAGAGAAGGTGAAGCCACACTGCTCCTTGGAGGCAAAGATTCTGAAGCTTCATCTGACACACTTTGGACATGTTGCAAAGCAGTACCAGTCCTTGGAGAGGGATATAATACTTGGGAGGGTGGAGGGACAGTGTAGGAGAGGAAGACCCTCTATGAGGTGGATTGATCCAGTCACTAGGATAATGAGGATAGGTGTGTCGGTGACATTAAGATTGGCACAGAATAGAGCAGGGTTTAGGGCTGTTGTACATAGAGTCACTGTGAGTCACAGGCAACTCGACGGCACATAACAACAACAACAACATGGCTCACCTTTCATCCAAATTAAAAACAGGCCAATAACACCAAGGAGGTACTGTTTCCTTAGAATTGCTGATGAGATAAGGTCAAAAGAGCAGCATTTTCCCCAAGAATCAAGCCATGAAGGCAGGAAAGGGAAGAATCAAAAGATCAATGGGAATGAGTTTACAGGGATGAAGTGGGAAAGGCATGAGTATTATAATTAATGTTATACAACAAAATACGTATGAATTGTTGAGTGAAAACCAACTTGCTTTGAACGCTTTCACTCAAATCACAATAATAAATAAGAACTCTGTCTAATGAGAGAGCTCTTGTGGTGTGGCCTAGTGGTAAGGAATTGTGCTGCCCATCCAAAGGCACGGAGTTCAAATCCACCAGTTGCTACATTAGAGAAAGATGCAAGAGTTTCCTTCCATGTGTTTTATTGCCTCTGAAAACACACAGGAGGGTCAGCTGCGATCAGTTCTGAATCAAAGACACACAATAGCATTTTATTTGGAAGCTCTGTGGAAGGTGGTATAGTCCATAGAAAGTTCTCCTGCTGTGCACAAAGACATGGAGGGTTGTGTGTTCATGGAGAAGTTTTTTTCGCTGGTAAAATAAAGGAAATATTTTCCTCTAGTAAAAAAAAAAAGAAAGTTCTCCTCCTAACTCAGATGGCATGCCTCTCAGGAGGTTCAAAGCCATTAGAGACTCCATAGGAGAAAAATGGGCTATCTACTACTGTGTGATTTTACAGTCTGAGAAAGCCAAGGAAGAGTCTTAGCTATGAGCTGGTTTTTTATTTTATGGATTCTAAGAATATCTTTCTAAATGTAGCATAACCAACCAAACACCAGTAAGTTTATTAAAGGATGAAGAGCTATTTTTTTACGGTAGAAGGAAGTCCTTCTCAAACCAAAACAAAAAGGAAGGAAGGAAGGAGAGAGAGAGAGAAAAGAGAGAAAAGTGAGAAAGAGAAAGAAAGAAAGAAAGAAAGAAAGAAAGAAAGAAAGAAAGAAAGAAAGAAAGAAAGAAAGAAAGAAAGAAAGCAAGCAAGCAAGCAAGCAAGCGAGCTTGGGCTATCATAAAATCTTTTAGTTAGGAAAACATGTAAAAAATTCCAGGTAAGAGGGAGAAATTGTCAACGTTTTAATGACTAGGTAGGTCAAACAAATGATATCAAGAACGGGAAAAACGCTAAATGAAGTCATATAGAATTATTGTGCTAGTTGTTTGTATTCTTATTTACATGTTTAGAGGTTTTTGCGTTTTCTAAATTTGAAGTATTTGATACAATGGTAATGAAAATATAAAACCTGGTTTCAAAGGCAAGAAATAAATAATCACTTGATTTTGACTTAATTTTTTCTTTGTGTATGAGGGGAGGCACTCCAACAGCTTATGTGCATCATACGACTAAGTGAAATTTGAAAGTAAGAGTTCCACAAATGTTTTTAATCCAAAACCCGTAATAAAAACCAGAGTCAAGAGTTGGAAAACCCCCTAGTTTCATCACTGCATTGAGATAGCAGCAAGAACAGCACCTGAAAATCCCAGGCCAGGTACAGTGGGTGTTTGCGAGTTGAGGATAGTGATTTGACCTTAGTACTTGATTGATCCAAATCCCAAATCCTAACTTGAAAAGTAAAAACAGGGTCCTTGAGAAATGGAAAGATTTGAGGAAGCATACAATGGATTCTCATAGATAAAAAAACTCCAATATTGGCTCTTCTGCCAAGTTCCTGACTAACCATTTGTGCAGTGGTTTTGTAACATATTTAATAACTTAGAAAGCCAAACAGCAATTATCTAGATACACAGTACTCTCTCTTTTTTTTAAAAAAAAACGCCTCTAAAGCGGGCCAGAGTGTTGCGACAGCTTATTGACATAATCTGGCATTGACCTTGGTTGTGAGTTGGAAAACAACTCTAAAATCATCCTACAAAAGGAAAGGTACTATCTTTCTAAACAAATTGTAACAAAACTAAAATATTAAAGTTCACTGTACTTAATGCTTAACTGTGACATTTACTCACCTTCCAAAGGTGTCTCCGAGCTTCCCACCAAAGCATGAGGCTAACATTCCACCAACTGCAAAGCTGGATACAGACAGGGACCAGAGCATGGTGATCACGCCTTCAGACACCACACTCCCTTCCTGGATCCCAGGGGTAGGTGCTGGGTTCATTGAGAGCGGAACGGTGGACAGTTCATCTGTACTGTTTGTCACATAGTTGTTGATAGCTTTTCGGTCATCCAGAACACCAAGCACGTGTCTATAATGGGATACTATAATCTGAGGAGGGGGAAAAAAACCTCCAATATTTCAAGCATCCTAAAATATTATTTTTATTAAAAAAAAACCCAAAAAACAAACAAACCCGAACAGAACCATCACAGATATGGGTAACACATACAAACATGATAGATTTGCTTACAACTGACCATAACCTATCCTCAGAACTGACTCATATCTGACCTTCCATTGGGTTCTCAGAGTGTGAACTGCCCTTTAGTGGATTCAAACCACATGCCTTTGGTTTAGGAGTGCAACACCTTACTCACTCGACCATAGAGCTCCTCTGTCCTATGAGGGCTTACAAGTTCCACTGCCAACAGGAGCCAATCCGAAACAAATTAGTAGAGGCAGCTGTCTTGATCAGAGGCAGCTGTCTTGATAATGGGACGCTGAAGTCCTCCTTTGATGATTGAGGCTGATTTTGACAAGGGCTGACTGGGTTGTGGAGCAGAAAAACATTTGCCCCATCAATAGGAGGCAATTCCAAGTGTGAAGCTAGTATTGCATGGTTTTACATTTTTTACTGAAATGAAAAATCTAGCTATATCCAACTTGATGGTACACGACAACATTTTAAAGGAATCCTGATGGAGTAGTACGCTACATGTTGGGTTGTTAACCAGAAGGTCATCCGTTTGAATCTACTAGCCACTCTGAAGCAGAAAGATGGAAAAAGTGGTAAGATTTACAGCTTCGAAACCCCAGTGGATTTTTTTGTCATGAGACAGAATTAACAAGTAGTCAGATTAACTCTGTCAAGTGTTCTAGCTGGACTTGAACCTGCCCTACTGCAATCCCTTACTGAAGTCACTGTATCAATCCATCTCCTTGGGGGGGGGGGGGAGGATGTCCCTCTGCTCCCTGACCCTGAATCCTCCTACCAGTAAGAAGTACCTGGTATAAATTCCAGGCCATCTCCTGTCCAAGTGCTAACCAGGCTTCTTGCTGATACAAAGTATGAAAAATTGCATGTCTCTTGTCAATTTATTGGACACCAGAATAGTGATACACAAAACAGAAAAGTTTTAGAAATTACTTGAGATACATACAACAAAACTAGAACATTCAAAAATCGTCACGGTGGACAAAGTGAAAACTTTGTTGGATTTTTTTTTTTTTTACTATTATTTTAAAGTTTTATAAGGGCGTTGTGCTGCCAGTCCAAACGCATGTGATTCAAATTCACCAGCTGCTCTGAGGACAAAAGATGGGAAGTCTTCTTCCATAAGAAACACGGCTTCTAAAAACCCATGGAAGGGTCGGCTTTGAGTCCGTTCCGACTCAAAAGTACGAAAGAACAACTCAATTATTTGGAGGGGACAGGAACGAGAGCAAAGACTACAACCTTGTTAGTGCTTGACTCTGAATCTGGCTGGAAATGGGAAAAATAAGGTGGTTTGGCTGAATGAATTGGAAAGAGTTATGTTAAAGTGCCTGGTAACAGTCAGTCCTCAGAAAGTAGTTGTGGATTGAATGAAATACATTCTTCTACCGTTCTCTCTTTCAATTTGAATTGTCTTTATTTATCTTTGGCTCTTTTTACCTGGCCTTTTCCACTCATGTATTCTTAGAAACTCAGAATAAATGCTGCAATAAGCTTTTCTTTTTTAAAATTGCTGTTGCACACGTGCTTTCTGACTGGGCTTTTCTTGTGAGCTCAGCAAACTGTCTTGAGCAATCAGGAGTTATTTACGAATCCTTTCCCCCCTCTCCCTCCCCCTGCGAGGGCTGCTGACTGAGGAATGAAAGTTGAGTTTATCAGCCCTGAGGACGTGCACAGCTTACCTGACATAGCACGTGGCCGCACTTTATCTGGTCAAAAGCACCTGATAGCCCCTACTGCTGACAGCTGTTAGTATTATTGCTACCCATGAGAATTTGCACATGTCTTACTTGCCTGTTGCGGGGCATTGATCACACCAATGTCATATCCAAACTGGAAGGAGCTCAAGGAGACAGTGAAGACGGTGAACAGCAAGGGCCAGGTGACCTGTGGGGAAGGAAGCACAGGCAGGACCACCCTCAGGGGATTTCAATGACCCACCCGCTAGCAGAGTTCAGTCGCCTGGACTTCTGCAGGCTGTTTCCTTCCTTCTGCTGTTCTTTCACGCTATGCTCTCTGCAGGTGTAGTTCCTTATAACTCAAGAGTCACTCATCCTTTCCCCTGTACTGCTAACGCCGAAAGGTGTCTGGGACAGCTTGTTTCAGGGAAATAATAATAATAATAATAATTATAATAATATATTTTTTTTTTTTTTTTACTTCCTTTCTTTTCTTTTGATAACTAATCAAATAAAACCAGGAGAAAGGACTAGAGTTGTTGCTGCTGCTAAAAAGAAACTGTCAACACAAGAACACTCTTTGGTCAGCCTGTTTTGGTGGACATTGCCATGTTACAAAACCACCCCTGATAAAACAGGTATCACCCAGCCATTAGCTCAGGCCACATCAAAGTCCATGTAAGCATACGGGGAAGGGTTTGCAATGGAAATTTTAGCACCTAGAATTTTTTAATCTAGAGATGTGAGGTAAAGGATATTTTTCTCCCCAATTCCATGTTTGTGTGCGGTTGCTATGTATCATGGAATTGGGATTGACTCCTAACTGATCATCTGCTGGGTATCTGAGGCTGTGAATCACATGGGAGGAGATTGTCCATCTTTGTTCCTCAGAGCAGCTGGTGGATTTGAACCTGTGCATTTTTGGCTTGGCAGGGCAACTCCTTACCACTAAAGCCACCAGAGGAGGCAGAGCAAATATCACCTCTAACGTAGCAATTATGCTTCTAACAGTGCTCTTTTTTTATTATTATTTGTGTGTGTGTGTGTGAGTGTACCATCAAATCAGATCTGACTGATACAGGAGGAGATTGTCCCTCCTTCCCCAGCAGAGCATCTGGTGGATTTGAACCATGCGCCTCTGGGATTGTAGTTGCAGCTCCTTACCACTAGGCCACCAGAGCTCCCCCCTAACAGTGCTTTTGACCCAGCAGTTCATGTGTGTTAACTGTGTTCCACTGGGATTTCAATGTTTTTTTGGTGTTTTTCGTGTGTGTGTGTGTGTGTGTGTGTGTAGGGGGGAGGTATGTGTTTCAGAAGTAGAACACCAGGCTTCTCTTCCAAGGTGCCTCTGGGTGAACTCAAATGTTCAAACTTTCAGTGAGTGACCAAACACATCTATGTCATGAACTCCTTTGAGCCAAATGTCATACAGGAGCACCAGTGGTGTAGTCCTTGAGGGATTGCACTGCCCGCCCAATCGTTTTGCCTCTTTTTTTTTCTTTTCTTTCTTTCTTTTTTTTTTTTACGTTTTGCCTCTCTTTTGCTTTGAATCTACCAGTAGTTTCAAAATGGAAAGCTGGGGAATCTGCTTCCATCCAATCAACAGCCTCAGAAGCCCACTGGACGGTCAGCTGTGAGTCAGTTCCACTTTGATGGCAACAAGCCTTTCCCGTTTGAAGAATTTTATCTTGTGAAACAAGGAATATTTAAGAATACTCAGTGCAATGCTGTTTTGTTTTTAATAAAACCAAGTATTTAGAAAGTACCTAAACATCAATCAAAGGAGAATGTGCAAATAACGTAAAATGCATCAGGGTCACTATGAAACATTTAAAAAATAATAAGATGACTGCTACATACTGACTTAACATGTGTTGAGGAAGTTATATAACCTCACTAATTTTTTCCTAAAAAGGCTTAAATATGAGTATTTGATTTATACGTGCTCTTGCTTCTGCTACTATGTACCGTCGAGTCAGAATTGACTCATGACTGACCCTCCAGCAAGATTCCAGAGGCTGTGAATTGCACTGGACGAGATCGCCCAGCTTTCTCCCTCTGAAAAGCTGGTGGACTCAAACCACACCCTTCTGGGTTTGTAGTGTAACTCTTTACCACTTGGTCCCAGAGCTTCCTTAAGACGTAATAATTATTAGGTGCTGTTGAGTTGAGTGTGACTCATAGAGAGCCTATCTACAGTAGATCTGAACCCTGTGTTGTCCTGCGTCAACCTCACAGTCCCTGACACATTCGAGCCCATTTCTACACTCACTATGTCAATCTACCTGATTGAGGGTCTTCCTTTTCTTCGCCGTCTCTCCATCTTTCCTCGCCTGATTTTTTTTCTCTCCAAGGAATAGTCTCTCTTAACACCATGCCCAAAATATGCAAGATGAAGCTTCACTATCCTTGTTTCCAAAATGTATCTATTTGTTCTCTTGGAAATCCATGGGATAATTGGTACTTTCCTCCAACACCACAACTCAAGGGCATAAAATTTGCCCCCGTCATCCTTATTTCTCGTCCAGGCTCAGATGCGCAACAGATGATTGAAGAGGTCACGGTCTGCAGGTGCGCTTTAAACCTCAAACTGGCAACACCACTCCTCAGGAATTTGGAGACATCCCTGAGTGCAAACTTTCCCCAAATTTCCTGGTCTCCTGACTGCTGCTGCCTGGTGTATTAATGTGGATCCAAGTAAGATGAAGTCATTGACAGTGTCAATCTTTTCTCCGTCTATCATGAAGTCGCAGAGTGGTCTAGTGGTGAGAACGTTTGTTTTCTTGATGTTGAGGGGCAATCCATAAATAAGGCTGCAGTGTGTGATCTTCTGCAGCAAGTGTTTCAAGTCCTTTGCACTTTCAGCAAGCAAAGTTGTGTCATCTGCATACCGAATGTTATTGAAAAGTCTTCCTCCAATCCTAAAGCCACATTCCTCTTTGTCAAGTCCCGCTTCTCTAATAATTTGTTCAGTATGCACACAGAATAGGTATAAAGAAGGTATAATATATACATACATATGTAAATGCGTATACATATAATATATATGTATGTTGTTTGTTCATTGTTAAATGCCATTAAGTCGTAGGTGACTCATAGCGACCCTATGAACTTTCTTCATTTCTCCAGGTTCATAGAGTTTCCAGAGGCAAACTATTTCAGAAGTGGGTGCCAAACTTGTTTTAATCGGGGAGCTCCACCAAACACTGTCCACCATGGGTGGCCATTATCGTATTTGATGCATCAGTGTCACAGTGTTTAGCATCACAGCAACCACGAATTACCTCTGTACAGCAAAACCACAGAGCAGCGCTATATATACCATGTAGAAGAATGTTTGACCAAAAACAATTGAAAACAGGCCTGACTGACGCAGATTTAAAATCACCCACCTTTGGCTTAGTCGCATCACTTTCTGTCCACTAGGCCAACTGAGCTCTATGTTGTTGTTAAATGTCGTTGAGTCATAGGCAACTTAGAGCGACCCTATGAACTTCATTTCTCCAGGTTTTTATATATAGATGTGTGTGTATGTGTATCTGTGTATATACATGTATGTATGTGTATCTGTGTATATACATGTATGTATATGTATATGTATATATATATATATATATATATTTTTTTTCCTGAAGGATAAATAGCATAGCAAAACGCTATCCTAACCTTGGGGAGAAATGCGAAATTCGAGATGGAAGGTGGAGTCGTTTCACTGACACCATGACTGAGCTAATGGGGGGTAGGTGTGTCAGACGGAGATGGGGAGACTGACTCAGTGTAGGACAGGGTTCAGAGCTATTGTACACAGGGTCGCTATGAATTGCAAGTGACTTGATGGCACATAGCAACAACAACAAGACATTTTATAAGGAAAATGTGTCCTGTGTATCAAAACTTACATATTTAAAACTTTGAAATAAAGAACATGGGATGAAGCAGGTACTCTGTTGATTGAAAGAATGGATCATATCAGCGCGGATTCCAGTACCTACTCTTTAACTTGGTTAAGTCTGTGACTTGAGCCATTTCACCTGGAGGGCTAGTTTCTCTCTAACTTGTGGATAACTGTAATTTCCTCTACTCCAGCACAAACAATAGTTATTAACTGTGGTTTCTTGTTCTCTCATCAGACGTGATATCAGAAAGTCCGGGGTCATCATCAACAAAGATTTCTCACAGAAGCGCCCTAAAAGAGCCCTTTAAAGATACTTAATGTCACTTACTCCTTGCAATTGAGTCCCACATGACCCAGAGCTCTCCAGTCAGTCCTTACTCACAGCTGACACCTCTGGCAGGTTTTCAGAGGCTGTAAATCACACCGGAAGTGATTGTCCATCTTCAACCTGAGGAGCAACTGGTAGATTCAATAATGTGGCCAAAGAATGTGCGATAAAGTTTTTCAAACCTTGTCTCCAAGGAGCACTCTGTCAGCACTTTCTCCAAGACATAATCTGTTTGTTATTTTGGCCGCCCATGAGCTATTCAGTCCTCTTCTCTAACACCACTGTTCAAAAGCATCAATTCTTCCTCTGTCATCTTTCGTCACCATCTGGTTCTCAATGCACAGGCAAGTAGCTAAAAAGATCGTGGCCTGAGTCAGGTGCACCTTAGTCCTCAAACTGGCATTATTCCTCCTCAGTAATATGGAGGGGCCCCTGGCTACAGACATCACCAGTGAAATACATCTCCTGACCTCCTGACTGCTGACACCAAGGGAACTGACTGTGGAGCCAAGTAAAAGGAAGTTGTTGATAGTCTCAATCCTTTCTCCATAAACCACCAGATGGAAAACTTATAGGTAGAGAGTCAGCCTAAGAAAGCCAAGACAAGGTTCCATTCCCTTGGTCAGGGCTCTCTCCTTATATCATTTCCTCCCCCACCTCCAAACTGTTCTGAGAGACATGAAATCTCATTTTGTTTCTAGGTTGTGACCTTTTCTGCAATGAGAGGACCGAGAGTTAAAGCAGACACTTTAACTGACTTCTCAAATAATCCTCCTCAGCAACCCCTCCCTCCTCTCAATTTTTCCTTTTAAATTGTGATTTTAGTAAATGTTTATGAAGCAAATTAGTTTTTCACTGATCCATTCATACACGTTTTGCTTTATAGCATTAGTTACAGTAACTGCAAGTTAATGACCCTCTTTCCACTCCTCTCAATTCTTGCCTTTTCTTCCTCTAATGTTATAAAAACACAGCTTTAAAGCTT